GCCGTCTGGCGGCCTTCGAGATCTGAGATCTGTAACGCCTCATGGCCTTACTCTTGTCAAGGTCCTTTCTGGTGGTTTTGTTGCGGATGGCACAGGGTTTTTACACCCACACTGACAGGGTTTGAAGCAGAGGGAACTTGGTCATGAGTGGTTTTCGTGATTTATTGTCAATAGCATTTTTCAACAATCAAGTATGATCTTTTATAATTTTTTGTTCATGGGTAACATGATTTCATCTTGACTGTTGAAAAAATGCTCTTTGTAGTAAATCACCAAAATATTGATGACCAAGATCTTGGATTTGCTTCATTCCTGTTCTAGCTGTTGTAGAAGCCCTTGTGCCATCCATAACTAATTCACTATCTTCATATTTAGATAGCTTTGTAGTCTGCATCTCTCTAAGGTAGGTATGCAGTAAGGAAGCCACAAATGAGTAAGGGATCTATTGGTCCACTCATGGTCCAGATCCCATGTGTTAACGCCTTTTATATGTTGATTCATAGCAGTTTTTCTCTTCCTTTATGAATTTTAAGACTTATTTTTACCTTTCATCAAATTTATTGTCACTGTTCAGGAATTTGTTACTGCTTAACTTAATTATTTTCCTCATGTTCTTGCATAGTTGGCTAATCTAATTAAGCTATTGAATATTAATTTGTACTGTCCTCGTTCTAAGCACTTGATTGCTTGGAAGTTAGAAACCATTCTTTTCTATATTTATGCAAGCAGCTACTTTGGCACGAGGACCTTGGCAAGCTTTGCACAGATGTGGCCCTGCAATGCAAGGAGTCTGGCTTCGATCATATTGTACATTATGAGATCTGTATGAATAGCTGTCCATTATGAGCGATGGGGATGAATTTCTTCTTCGCCATGAATAGGAACTGATGGCACTATTGGGAATTACCTACATCTCAAGCTTGAAACAATCTTATCATGGTGGTCGTGGTCATTCACACTCTCTTATTGTTGAGATAATGTTGTAATCCCCTTGGTGCGACTGCTGTGATAAGTTCTGCACGGATGTAATCCTTCAATGTCAAGAGTGTGGATGCAAGTGAACTATCTATTTTGCTTGCATTTGATGTTGTCTTTATAGCTTAAGATGCTTGAGAATGTATATGCATTTGGAAATCAGAATTTTCTTTGATTAGATGTGTTTTAAGTGCTGTTGTAAATTAGCCACACGGTTAATTCACAATTTTACTTGGATTTTCCTTAATTTTGAAGCTCCCCCAAGCATCATATCCTCTCGGATTCAAAGTGTACGACGCATGGTTAAGCTCCAGTCTTCTAATCACCTTGTTTTTTAGCAGGGTTTTCTTATTCATGAGTATTAGCAGAATTACGCTGTTTTTGCCTCAACTAGGATGCATTCCTGGGATCTCGAAATCAATCTTGAATTCACTGACCCTAAACGCCATGAGTAGCGAGAAGTTCTCCAATTTAATTTCAAGGATTTCATTTAAGACATTAGCACTGTGTTTGGCAATCTATTGAAACGTACGTGGATACTCTCTTACTGTAAACAACTCCAACAAAAACCAGAAAAAGAAGAAGGGAGAAGCCAACACAATAATGTAGGTCATTCTGAACATGCAGTTATGCATTAAAATTCTGAAAAATCATACAAGTACTTAAAATCAGCAGTTCTTAGCGTCTTGTCTTGAGAAATCATTACAAAGAATGCCAATCAAACAGCAAACTGCAAAAATGGTCTGGACCTAACAAAAGGAAAGCTCAGTTTTCAGGACATTAGGAGAACAAGAAAAATTGTCAATGCATGGACTGTTCAGTTGCAGAATTGGACATGTGATCAGTAATTCTAAAAGTCTAGTCCTAAAAAATTTATGTGATTAAAGAAAAATATGCTGATTGTGGACTCATTAGCGGGGAGGTTATCAAACGAGTGCCAGCTGAACGGAAAGATTTCTCCCAGATGTCAACTTCAGTACCATCCGCTAGACTGCCTTTTTCCATGCCAAGCTTTTGTAACAGACTTGTAAGGTATTCCACAATTTCAGACATCTGTGGTCGGAACTCCTTCTCAGGCTGCATTGTCAGTTTTCAAGCCATTTAGACACTTTAATATCATCAATCCGTGAAGAGTATGAGTTAAAGACAATCTTAAAACAAACCCTCAGGATGTTAATCTTAATGTGTATTTACTTTTAATAAGCACCTCTCTATCAGACAAATTTAAATTCTGGCAGTTTTCCAATTAGATTTATTGGAAACTCCTAGCAAGTTCAAGTTTTGGGCCTATATTTAAAGAGGGGGAAAAAGATGAAATTATTCTGGCAATAAAACTGAATGACATTCATTTGGGGAACATATTGACACAACAAAATAATCTTTCAAGTTAACAATTACATCCAGTTTTTCTCATTTGCCATACCTGAGTACACAGGGAGACAATGTCAGCAAAGCCCGAGAGAACCCTGGAAGAAAATGTCTTTCTAACTCTTGGATCAACCATTTGATCCAAACAATCTCTGTCATGAAGCTGGAATGAAGCCCATTTCACCAGAGATTTCTCCTCTTTTGGTCTTGAACTGAGTTTAAAAAAATATATATAATTCATGATAAAAGATACCACAAAGAATGTCTACCAGTAAAAGGAAGGGCACCAAACTGTACCTATCAAATGGCCTTCTTCCTGTTAATAACTCCAAAAGCAACACTCCAAAGGCATACACATCACTCTTTGTGTTGTCACTTCCTGGCTGCCCTTGTTCAGGTGCGACATAGCCAACGTCAGTAATAGCAATTTCAGATGCCTGTTTGAAATGACAACAGGTGAGTTTCAATAATTTTCTATATGTCATGAAAAAAATTTCCATATTTATTTTTGCTGCAACAGGCAGTGAAGTATATGACAATTAGGTAAATACAGTACATGCTAGTTCATAGCTGCAATAAAAAAATATTTCTGTAAGTACGAACCTTAAGTTTGATAGAGTTGGTTGCAAATGGCCTTAGAATAGCTAGCCCACAGTCACATATGCGAGGCATAAGTTCTTCATCAAGTAAAATGTTGGCAGCCTTTATGTTGCAATGAGCAACAGGAGGTGAGAATTGGGAGTGCAAATAGCTGAAAACATCATTGACAACAGAAACCATTAAAAAGCAGAAAGAGGAAAAATAGATGGACTCATTCTGTTTCTGTCTCACACTACTCAAACTAGTTTCAATAAGCAGACCAACTACAACCTCTAATGTGACTTAATTTTATTGTATGCTCGTAGATAGAGACAAATTATCATTGCTTTACTTGATAATTGTTACTAGGCTTGATACAGTGACTAGTGCTAAAGGTGGATTCTTTGCAGTCCTACAAAGTTGGAACAATAAGTATGCATTACAGAACCAAATGGAATACTTACTCCAAAGCTCGAGCAATACCAAGGGCAATATAGAGGCGTAGGCCCCAAGGCAGTGGCTTGAAGGCTTCATTATGCAGAGCATCATCAAGAGAAAAGTTTCTTACATACTCGTAGACAATGAGATGCTGTCCATTTTCCACACAGTAACCAAGAAGTGTTACAAGGTTGGGGTGCCTTAGTTGTGATGCTATCTGAATGACATCCATGAATTGCTCTTCTTCACAGAATGACAATGGTACCATGTTGATGATTTTCACAGCCATAACCTGGTCAAAAAGCAAAATGGTTGAAGAATGTCTAAAACTTATCATGAATTTCACTGATACTTAAAAGTTGCTAAAAAGTACACATTGATGTCATGTGCTTACATAGCCATCTGGTAACTCGGCTTTGTAAACAGAACCAAGAGATCCCTCTCCAAGAAGGTTCTCTTCACTGAAGCTGTTTGTAGCTAATTGAAGCTCTGCCAAAGTGTAAGCATTTGCAATTCTTGTCAAACTATGTTGCTTTGCAAAATTTTTTCCTCTTTTACTCATTTTGTCCATTCCAGTCAGGTGGGCAGGAGAAACATTCCTCATTCCAAGAACAGGTGAAGGGCTGATAGATGAGAAATGTGGGGTCTCTTCTGCTGCAGTAGAAGGAAAATCTATAACCATGGGGGAAGGGGGGGGTACAGAAATAAGTCATATCAGTGGAGCAACCAGTAAGAGAAGTCAGATTGCTATGCTATCCCACACAAGAAGAAGCAAGCAGAAATGTAGGCTAGATTCCAGTAATTAGAAAGAGTTTCAAAATTGTATATGATCAACACACACACATACTAGGATATGAGTATTCAGAAAACCTCAAAAAAATTAATAAGAAAAGTAGCCAGGGATTGCAGTTGCTATAGCTTGGTGGAAGGAAAAGAGAAGGAAAAATGGAAGCAAGTTCAGTTAAGGAAAAAACTGACTTGATATGTTTTATGTACAGAGAACAACAAAACAAACGATACAGAGAACCTCAGTAAAAGGACTTCAAATGAAAATTATAATTTTCAAATTGAACAAAATTCAGTAGTAGCTACCTTTAAGATATTTGCTGAATTCAGGACAGACAAAAATACTAGTAACTAAACTTGCAGTAAGAATATATTTCAAATATTGAATAAAGATAATGGTGAGAAAGTTTTGTTATTATATTTTTTCCATTGGAATTCTTCTCATTGTAATTGAAACAATAGTAAGGATCTATGAACATATTGAAATCAATCTATCATCATCACTTCTTAAAACAATAAAAAAATAAAAAACTATTCATGCAAAAGTCCACTATAGAGTAACATAAATCTCTGCATCATCATAGTAGTCAAATTGTACATTACAGCAATGGGTCTAGTCACCACAGACATATCGTAACTTGTTTTGGCATATAGAAGGAATTTATGTTTCCTATGAGTGAATGTTATGTGTCAATAAGGATTTCTCACCTCTTTCTGCATTATCCGGAAGAGAGTGAAGTATGTTACCACTGCTCTCGAAGCTGTTAAGCCTTTGTGCATTAGATCGTTTAATGTGGATTGCAAAGAGCAATACTGCACCAGTGACCACCAGAACTACCCCAGCCACTATAGAACCAATTGCTCCTAGGCTTAGCCTTTTCCTATTAGGTGCACTTACTTCAAGAGATGGGTAGGCCACAACGGCACTTGACTGAGTTGATGGTGGGCTACTTATATTTTGCACGGTCGAAACATTATCCAAAGGGAAAGTCCAAGGAGGATAGTTGGATCCTATGTGGAACATGTTTCCCCAAATCCTAAGAATAAGGAAAAGAGGACAAAAAACTCATTTCAGAATACAAATGATTTGATGATAGTTTATACTAACAAATTAAAAAGATTTGATGAGTTACCATAAATTTGGAATTGACCGAAACTGCTGAGGAATAAGGCCACTGAAATGATTGTCTTCAATGTTCCTGATAACATATATGTTTGAGGAAATGATCAGAGATATATTTTAGACATGAGTTGCAAAAACGCTGCAGAAAGAATTCAAAACATACAGGTCAGTTAATGGAAGCTCTGCCAGATATACAACTGATCCAGTAAATTTGTTACTTTGCAAGAACCTGCAGATAGGAAAGAAAGATGCTGTGGAAATTAACAACAGTGATGGATGTAGAAAGATGCTGTGGCATACCCCAAAGATGAGAGTTAGGATCAAGCAGTTAAAACTCACAATTTTGTAAGATTTTTCAGAGAGCCAAAAGAATATGGTAGATCTCCAGAAAAGTCATTATATGATAGATCCCTGTCATAAAGATGATATTTAAAATTAGAAAAAAGTATAATTACCAATTGAAAGCTATTTTCTTAGGAAAGGAAGATGCTAAGCCAATATGCATGGGCTACTGTAAATTATTATTATTATTTGGCCACAGGGCTACCACAAATTAAAACTGCAACAATTTGGATAAGAAATGAAAGGAATATACATGGGTTATTTCAAATAAGAGCTGCAACATATTACACATCGAACAGATTGTAATATCTACTTTGATATCTCAGCTAGTTCATCCACATCTCTAGGACTACTTTAGTTAAAAATTTGAGAGAAACACACATGACTACTTGCACTCTGATATGAGAATTCCAAAAAAAAAAAAAAAAAAATCATCTTCATCTTTTTTAAATAGAAAAGGCTAACAAGGAACAAAAACGCTAATAGCATGAAATACCAGTGAAGCAGATTCAGAATGTCAAGTTCTTTTCCTTTAATCTAAAAGGCCAACTCTTTCTTGAATATTGACTGTGTTTAAATTTCACAGACATTAGAAATTACATGGTAGAGGTATGTACTTGAGTGTGTTCCCCTTTACTTCCAAAATTCAAAGTAAAGCATTCACCCAAAACTAAATTCAAAGCCAAAAAGAGGAAAAGGATGAAAAGATCATACATTTCTTTTAGATTCTTTAGACCAGAAAACACATTGCCAATTGGTCCAGACAATAAATTGTGGCTTAGATTCCTGAAAAAGGAAATGTTACCTGAATGAATGAATGAATAAACATAAATAAATAAATAATAATCATAATAATAAAGTAAGAAAATGTGAAACTAACTCACAGATGCCGGAGATGTGTCAAAAAAGATAAAGAATGAGGTATATATCTGGTCAAATTGTTGTATGCCAAATTTCTGCTTTCATTTGAAAATACAGGAAACAATAAAAAGTTGGATAAGAAGAACAAATTTCAGTTGAAAAATGTCCACTGTTCACGGAATTTCACCACATGTGGATAAAAGGGATAGAACATATACAATAGACACCAGCCAAAAAAACCAAAAAAGAACATATACAATAGACATCTTACATATAAGTGGCATTACGGGGTAGGCGAGGTGGAATTTCACCAATGATGTTATTAGAGCTAACATCCCTACCAGAACAAAACAGCTTAAGAGTTAACAAATACTAAGTAGAGCTTCAGTTGATTAAGAAAATAGACTGGCCTAAAACAATTGAGCAAATATAAATGCAGCAAAGCCACTAACAGGTGCTCCAGGTTATTGAGATTATTGAGTTGGCCTCCAAGGCTGCCAGTGAGGTTTAATCCTTGAAGTTTACTGCAAAAAGGTGAGCCAGCAGGTACTTTTAGCATTTGAGATATAATTGATAACTATCAACAAAAGGAAAACACTGTCCAAATATTCTGCTGCATTAATCAAACAAGACTGTGCATTACAGGTGTATCACAGATGACCCAGAACATGACACTCCTGTCCACCGTTCCTCACAAGGATCTCCAGCATCCAATTTCCATCTCTTCAGCTGAGGTGAGATGTTCAGGGCATGGTACAAATCTTGGAGAGCTGAAACTGTACACGGTAAAAAGTATGGGATGCATAAGCCACTTGGCAAACTACATAGATTTACAGGAAAATCATAAATAAAATGCTAGCTAAATCTAAACATAGCAATAATCAATCTAAAATCGCATACTGTTTATGATCAAGATTCTAACTGTGTATTTAATAACGTTAAACGGGTTATGATGTAATGATCTACAGATTATCTGGTAAAGCATACTTTACCTGCCAGAATTTTTAGGTCAAGTACCAAGAGGAAACAAAATCCAAATCCCTAAATCTTGATCTTAATTTGACCTTCACCAAACCGGAATCCAAAACAGCAAGTAAATAGATACAACATAGATCCTTCACTTTCGCGAGAAATCATATATTCTTCACTTTTCCTATATTTTCTTAGCATCCAAACAAGCTGAGGGCACAAAAAACAGCAAAATCAACATCGAATCACCAATTAATTTTCTCATATGCCGTCAGTTTCCGCAATAACACAGTCAATCGCTGCCCTAGCCTCCAGAAATCGAAATAAACAGAAGATTCGTATCAAGATTACCGTCAAGCGTATCCGTAGTCGTACTAGCCTCAAGAAACAAGTTTGCCGAGAAAACAAACACGCTTAGGTACAAACATAAGAACTGTTTGGCCATTTTCTCAAGAATCTCGAGCTTATTTTCCTGAAAAGAGACAGAAAACGTTCGGTCTCAAACAAAAGAATCTCGAAAAGAAATCGATCTCTTAGGTCTCCGATTCAATCAAAGGAAAAAACAATAACAAGAAGAAGAAAAGGAATGGAAAATCCAATGCTGAAAGTTTTCTTACCCAGAGCTAAGGCACACAGAGTAGGATTGTACAAATATTTAACTAGCTAGTTAGCGTTTTTGGCTTCCTTCCTCGAGAAGCAAAGGAAATCTTCCACTTTCTTGCGTTTTCTCGGGAACCAAACAGAGGAGGAGGAAACCAGGGAAGGGAGAAGTTTCTGGAGGGAGAAACTGAAATCGGAATCTTTACAATGCCGAAGTTATGAGGGAGAGGCGAGGGAAGTATGGAAACCGGAAATTTAGAGAGGAGGGGAGGGAAAGGAAGTACACGTCAGCGAAGCCGTTAAGGTTTGTTTCAATGAAGGGACACGTGGCAGAGTTTGTTTGGGGGACTCAGGGAAATTTGGCGCCTTTTGGCAGTCAATAGATACCAGTTGCCTACTTTTCATCTTCTCAAAGTTTTTTTTCAAAAAAAAAAAATTGTTTTAAAAAAAAGAACAAATAGAAGAGTGTTTTTCAGGCGAATTTGCATAAAAAAAATTAAGGAATGCTCGTGAATTATTTAAAGGATTTAAGAATACATTTATTCTGTTTATATAAAAAAAAAGAATATATTTATTCTACCTTCTTGTAATTAATTTGTATTAAAAAAATTAAAAAATAACTTTAATTTTATCAATTATCAAATTAAATATATATAATTAGTGATAGAAATAAAGTTAATTTTTATAATTTTTTTATAAAAATTAAATGTTAAAAATTAAAAGAAACAATTAGTGCATCCTTATTTTGTATTTCGCACAAGTTAGATATATTTTTATTTAAATACCAATAATATAATTTCCTTTTATATTGAATAGCACATTCCGATTTAGTAATATGAATTCTGAATTAAAATTATTCACTTCTTATGAGTGACGTGTTCGAACTTTAAGAATCTTTTTTCTTTTTCCCCCACTTAATTTATATATATAATTAATTTCAATCTGGTAAAAAAAAATTTTTTTTCTTTTGTATTTTTGGGTAACTAAATGCGGCTTAATAGTTATCCTCCTTTTGAGTTTTAATTGAGTTCAAAGTCAAGTTCACGAATTGAGGTTGAATTTGTAAGACTATTTTGAGTTTACAAATCAAGCTCAATGTATTTAAATTTGATAAAAACTCGAAATTAACTTAATTTGTTTTTATATCATAAAGATAAATTTCAAATTTTAAAAAATTTGAGTTGATTTGATTCAATTCAACTCATTTACAGAACTACTAGTTGATTAATTAGTTTGTATTTCTTAAGAATTTCTATGATTTTTGTTTTTTGAAAAAAAAAATGGGGGGAAATTTGTCACATAAACCGTTGGGCCGGTTCATTAATGATGAGTTTATACAGAAAGTTAGAAACTCGGGTTTACGCTTACTTATTTGGGCCTTGATTCTATAAACTAAATGGGCCTTAATTTCGTCAGTCAGTCCTATTCTAGTGTTTTTCTGCACTTCAAACTATTCTTCTCCTCCCAAGGGACCGATGGCAGAATCCGGCGAGAACCAGACGAGCAATGGAAACGGAGAAGATGAAGAAGAAGATTACATGGGGGACCTCTCTCAGTTCCTTCCTCCGGAACCCTCCATCCCTTCTAAATTCTCTTCCAAAAAGGTCAGTTCTTTCTGCTTTCTGTCTCCCCCTCAGAACTTAACAATGCAATTGAAATCTCCCAGGATGCCAGTTCATTCTTTCTCTTTAACCCTATGAAACATCAATTTTCTGGGGTTCATGTTGGTATTACTATCCATTTAGCTTGGTTTCTCAGCATCCATAAATAGAGTCAAGAAAGAAGAACCTTTTAGGTTTGTTTCTGTTTGTTTTATTATATGGGCAATTGTTGTTTGGTTTTACTTCTCAATTGCTTATTTGTTGATTATGGATTTGTTTTCTGGTGATTTTCATTTCTAAGAGAAATATTTGCTGCAGCTATTTTGCTAAGAAAACACTGACACACCATTTCCCTAAATGGGAATTCAAAAATGCGTGGACCCTTATTTTTGAGATGGGCTTTTGTTCTTATAATTTTGAAGGTGAAAAACTTTATGCTTTCGTCAGTTGGTTGAGATAGGTGTATTCTCCCTTCCAAAAATGTTTCTAGGTGCTATAGGAGGTTGAAACTGAATGAAAAAATAAGATGTTTATTTATGGTTTCCAATTTTAATAATGTGCAGGCCCCCAACAAACCGGTGGGTGTTCAACCATCCAAGAAATCCAAAAAGTTAAACTGGCAAGAACAGCGGAAACTTGAAAAAGAGAGAAAGCAGAAAGAAGAGGATGAGCAAACGTTAGCGAAAATAGAGGCCCCAATTTCACAGTCTAACATTGGTTTTAAGTTGTTAAAGCAAATGGGTTATACTCCAGGTGCAGCACTTGGCAAGGAGGGTTTAGGCCGGGTTGAGCCAGTGGGGCTGGACATTCGGCGGTCACGAGCTGGGATTGGGAGGGAGGATCCACAAAAGGAGAAGAGAAAGAGAGAGGAGATTGAGGCTGAGAATAAAAGGAAAAAGGAGGAAGCTTTGATGGCAGACTTCGGGTCTAGACAGAAGTCACAATGGCGGAGCCGAAGAGTTGTTGTGAATTTCAACAAGGCAAAGACAGCTCTTGATCAACTAGAGAATAAAGAGGTCGTGGTGCCAAAGAAGAATGAGGATGAAGAGGACGGTGAGCAAGATGAGGAGGAAGAGGAAGAGATAACAGAAGAGGTATATGCTCTTGAAACATACAAATATGATTGCGCAGACAATGTTACATCAACTTCTGTTTCATTTTTGTTCTTCACTTCTAGTATATTTGTTTCAGTTCCATGTTTTGAGTCTGTCTTCTTTTAGAGGATTTTCAATTATTTTGGATTGGAGAGCCCATTTCACATAATTTTTCTGCACATCACCTATTGACAAAAGTGCTCTATTAGCTTTTGATTAAATATTAGTAGTCAATGCCCTTTTGATGGATGTCATGCAAGTTCTTTGCTAGCTATGACTTTTATGCATGCAACGTTTTGCATTTTAGTTATTAAGAAAATTGTTTTCAAATGTCATTGGTGAATGGTTAAGCAAAAGATTACAACGTTTACATGGTGTAGATAGATTGGTTTCGTTAGAAGAATTATTAAATTGTGGCTGTTCCAATCCTGTTTCTTTGATTAGGAAGGAAAGTTAGTGCTTGGCATTGCAGGGGTTCAAACCCCACCAATCTTGACCTTAGGATAATAAGGTTTGGAAGTTTATGGGCTTAACTCAAGCATTAGAAATGGGAAGAGAAGAGGAGGAGAAAGATGGTTTGGGGCTTATCTGTTATTTCTTCTCTTTCATGTCTGGGATATGTTACTTCTCTGCAGTTTCACTCTGTAGACTATGACAATGTTTTTGCATTATTTCTCTGCTTCTTGCCAATTCTTCTGCTTTTTGTCTTATGCAAGTGATAATTACTGTGGTCTCTACCTTAAGCACTTGTGTGGCCAAGGTGATATGCAGTCATATAGAGGTCCATGCATGTCCATATGTCTGTCTATTTTGAATTTTTTTTGTCCTCGTATTTCTCATGTTTGAACTTCTACAGCTTCTACCTAGGGTTTAGCTAAAGTCTGATTTAAATCTTAGGACTAAGAATACCAGACAAACTAGTTTCAATGAACCAACTACCTGACTGAAAGCAATACTGCCACTTAGGTTGAGCTAATATGTCAGTTGTGTTGTATGGCTCTGATTTGTCCAAACAGATATTATACATCATGCAATGTTGTCCGTTGTTTTTCTCCTTTCTTGGTAAAGTTGAATATTAAATGAATTATCTCAACTGTGGTTGCAGGATTTGCTAGATATATTGATGAAACTGAGAGATGAACATCACTACTGCCTCTTCTGTGGATTTCAGGTTAGTTTGTTGGCATTTAATATATTTCTTAGTGAGGTTTTTATTATGAAAATGTCTTAAGCTTGAAATTTAAGCTAAACCAAATACCTCCCCATACTCCTCAATGTCTTATGTATGATCCTGCCATTTTGTTTCAGTATGAATCAGTGGACGCTCTTCGGTCCAACTGCCCTGGATTGGATGAAGATGACCACTAGAGTAGAGTTTATTGGTTTAGATTCCAAAGACCATGCAATTAGCTGAACAGGGCTGAAATCATACCACTCGCAATCTTGAACTGGGATGCATAATTTTTTATCTTAGTAGCGTGCAACTTTGTAACTTCTGTTCAAATTTGTGTAGTCTTTTGATGCACTAAGGTGAGGTGCTGCATTCCAAACCGGTAGGTCAGCCATCAAGGATGATACAGTAGAACATGTAAACATTCTTGAATTCATCTCCATGGTTAAGGAGGGAAGATCTTTCATCAAACGTGTTGTATAAGAATTTTGTAACTAAATAACTGGCAGGGGCACCAATTAGCCAGCCATATAGAATGCTATTGTTAGAAATTTGGAAATACATGATTAGTTTAATTTCCTTCTCAATAATTGAGAAGAATGAGATACTTCATACTTGAAAACCTTCAGAGATGGTTCCAGATGACTTCTTATTTTTGTTTGGCCCAAAAATCAAAAAGACCTCATTGTTGCGGACAAATAGAAAGTTACTCGCAATAAAAAACCTCTTACCCACCCCCCCCTCCCCACACACACACACACAATCAAATGTTAGGAGGAAGAGAGATTCTTCAAAAATATTTAGGCTCCTTATCCCTGCACCCATTCTCTGTGATCCTGCTCAGCAATCAAATATTCAAGGTAAGGAAATAGACTTCATAAAGGGTCAAAATCCGCAATCATCATCAACCTTACTACTTGGATCTGCTTTGCGCCATTGCATTCAAAAGTTTAAAAGCATGTCCAAAGCTTAGCAGAAGCCAATTGCTTGTTCGGTTTAATTAGGTTAAGCAACAGAGGCAAACAGATACACCGTGAGTCAAGTGCTCAAGCCATACAAACATAAAATTTCACATTCCTACTAAGATAATCATAAGCAAACAGAGAGGCACATATTGCCTAAAGGGACCAGTTAATGTGCTTGATGGAGGAATCATATTCCCTAGAGAACTCGAGTTCCATGTAGTGCCTCCTGCTCTGCTGAGTCGACTTGTTAGGTTTAATTAGGTTAAGCAATAGAGGCCGACAGATACAATGAGTCAAGTGCTCGCCCCATACAAACATAAAATTACACATCCTACTATGGTAATCATAAGCAAACAGCAAGGCACATATTGCTTAAAGGGACCAGTTAATGTGCTCAGTGGAGGAATCATAATCCCTAGAGTACTCAAGTTCCATGTAGTGCCTCCTGCTCTGCTGAGATGATTCAAGCCCAACAGAGTACTGACTACCAATTGGTTGAGACATTTGGCCCAAACATAGGTTAGGGGCCATCTCTTGTGAGCTGCTACTGCTACCGGCATCATTGCCCTTGAAACCCCATGAGGTATTAGGATAGTTATTGACAGTTGCACGACCATGAGGAGGTGCATCCGGTTGAGCAACAGAAACCCCTTCAGCTTCAGCATTCACTAAGTCATTCACCATGAGCCCAGGGCCTTGGTTTCTGGAGCCCCATGTTTGATTTGACAGAAGAGAGAGAGCACAGCTTGAGTCAGCTACTGCTGTGAAGCATTGTCCCGGAGAAACCACGGCACTGGAGAAACCAGTCCCACCAGCTGAACCTTGCAGGAAAAGTTCAGATGTTGAATTCTCAGAGTTGCCCTGCCATGAATTTGGAATTGACCTTCCTGTGGCAGTGTTGGGTACCCGCTCGGTTGGTCTTGATGCTGGCCATGCATCCCTCCCAGCATTCCTTGGATAAGATGTGAAATCAACCATAATAACTCCACCTCTGCCGCTGTTTTCTGTCACTATATATAACAAGCAAATATAGTCAGGTCATATCCTTATTACAGATCTGATACAATTTCAAAATTGAAATTTAATCTTAATATCTAACCATTCAAAGAGGAAGGGAGCCTGCCATAGCGAGAGGGAAATAATGATCCAGGTGGTGGCTTTCTTCGACGCTCATTGTGTCCAGCCAGGCGCCTGCGACAGCTTCTTTTTCCTTGGTCAAATTCAGTAAGCTGATGAAATCTGGATTAGACCACCAAAAACTTGTTATTTTTTACCTATGAAAGATTTTGATGATTATTATTATGGAAAACAAACCCAATACTAGGACTAGTCTAGATGTACATTTTTTTAAGGCTCCATCAGGAATTGCATGTTCGGCACAAAATACATGCTTCTTATAGCCCAAAGGAAAGGGGTTCACAAATAGATCCAGAATTCTCTCTTATTATTCAAGACTCTTAAAAAACAGTTCACAGTCCCAGGCAGAAATATGCAGTCATCAACATGTTTTAGTTATTTATTGATGAGGTAAACAGAAACTGAAAAATCAGCAACGCAAAGAAGGTTTACTTGTATATATGTTCTAGCATCTCAATTGTGGTTATAGCTGTATCCTAGTATACGAATTCACTTATTCAATGACAACATGTTTCCAAACTGTGCAGCACATTCACTCAATCTCTATAACAAGAACGCACACCAGAAACTATCTTAACTAGCAAGTTATCCATGTAAAAAATCATAAATATGAAGTTTCCACGATGTAAATGAAGGATCCTGGCATAAAAACAGGGGTTGAGCAACAAAAACCACAAGACAAATGCTTTGGCTTTGTGCTCTCTTACAGATGGCTGAGATTGTCTACGCAAAAAGTCATCGGAATTCAATAATCCATAACATCTGTTCTGCATTTGATTTAACATAGCAAAACTAATATCGACCCCACCCCCCACCAACCACCTGATTTCAATCATTCAACTTGCAGACAGCTTTCAGTGAAAGATGACAAATTACCCAGAGATAAAACCCCTGATCACACAACACGTTGACAGGTGAATGTAAATGATTAGAAACTCACCATTCCATCTTCCCAAGAAAAAAAGGTGCAGAAAACCTCACTTAAATTACTGCAAATAGTCATCAGTAAAAACTCTTCATATACTGCAAATGCGGCATGCTAGAAAAATATTGGCTTCTAATATACATTCATATTAAAACAGAAGCATCTCATGCTAACATATGGAACTTCCCATTCCTAAAAAAAAAAAAAAAAAAGGAACACACCTATATTAACCAAACCTATATTAACCAAATGCATAGAGGACACAAGAAAAGGTCCCATGAGGAAATTTTAGAAATATGGTAAAAGCACATATATCATACAAGCAGTGATACCAAAAATTGCGACCACCATTGTAGTTAAAAGAATCATACCACCTGTTTTTGATGCTAACCTGTCAGGATTCAAGTCTTGGTAATGATACATTCATCATTCAAACCAAACACACGAATTAGAGGTGTGGAATTATGGAGAATTATTGGATGAACACCTTGATAAAATTAACCAAAGGAGGTGCCTCATCATTAAACAAGGAAGAAAAATGCCGAAAACCAAAGAGGTGAGCAAGAACTTACACACATAACAGCAAAGATTACCCCTAGGGTAAAGCATGAAACCAATAAAATTAAGAATCACTGCACACTAGGACATTAACTAACAGAAAGAAAAACAGAGAATATGAACACACAGCCAAACACAAGCAATAATGTTAGTGAAATTCAACAGAACAAGCACCCTACTAAAAGAGAAACCAGACCAAACTGAAAAAAACTCCCCCATAAAGACTTCAGAACAGAGAAGGATATGTTTACACAACTCAGAGGTCTAATTAAACCAAACTCAGCAAATATTAAATAACCTCATAGATCAAAACTATCATCCAAATCAAGAAACACCCAATTCAGACAATCTTCAACCCAAAAGGGCAAAAACCCAAAACTCCCCAGAGAAGCCATAATAAAGGTATAAAGGAAAAGGAAAGATGGAGGCTAACCTACTACACTGCTGACAGAACCTCTGCTGCATACCAGCAACAACGACCATAGATGATTTAGAGTGCATGCCACAGACCTTATGCCTTGAATAGTAAGCCTTAGCATCACTCAGATCCACTTGGCACCCTTCCACTTGACACCTGGGAGGGTGTGCACCCTGCACCAACCCACCACCACGGATTTTCTTACCTGACCCAGATGAGGATGATCCAGACCCAGACTTGGTTTGAGCAACCCCAGCACCAGCAGCACCAGCAGCACCAGCAGCCCCAGCACCCGCATCCTCAAAGTATATCTTTTGCCCAAATTTCAACCCGTCGAGTGACTCAGTGTTGAAGTTATTGGCAGAGGAACCACCTGAGCCCGAACCCATCGAACCCATTTCCATTAGTGGTTCCTAATGCCCATTCATGGGGTTTTTGTGGGTCACAAATAAGGGAAATGTGCTGTTTTTATGGGGTTTTCTACTCTACTAATTTATTAGAGAGAGAGAGAGAGAGAGAGAGAGGTAAAGCAGAAGAGAGAGAAACAGAGTGAAAAGTGGAAACCTGACACTGGCACTGGCCCATGCCAGCGAGGGGACCATAGTACACTGAGAAAATTTGTCTGTCACCTAAAGAAAATAATAAAAATGGAGAACAGAAAGGGTAAAGGTGAAGACTGAAGAGAAAGAAAGTTGACACAGGGGTCAGGTGGGAAGAAAGAAAAATTCAGGGGCTAGAGAGAGAAAAAGAAAGGAGCTTTGGCCTTTGGAGGAATTAAAGAGCTGTTCTTTGCACGCTTCTGTTTGATTTGCTCGAAAGTGAATAAAAATGGCCCTCCTCTGCTCTCTCCAGAAGTGGGAAGGAATATAAGGAGGGAAGAAAGATGGGTGCCTGTACTCAAAAAATATTCCCAGTTTGAAAGTATTTGTTTTGTTTTTTAAAATATTTTTTTATATTAATTACATAACAAAATACAATTATTTTTTATTTTTTATTACACCCTATTTACATATGAATTGAACTCAATATTTTTTATTTTTAATAAAAAAATTATTATTAATTTATTTAAATTATTGATAATTTTTTTAATGTTTTTAAGCAAAAATAAATTTTTTTACCTATAATAAAAAATTATAAATCAATTCATATGATATAATGCATTAAGAGTATCACAAAATCTAACCGTAAAAACATAAAATATTTAATTAAACATATAATAATATAAACCTAGTTTTTTATTTAATAAGGAAAACTGTAAATCAGCATAATTTACTACCTAAAGTTCAAAAAATAATTATTGAGATAATTCATTACTAAAAACCATTCTAAATTAATACAATTCTCATTAATTACTTTTCTTTTTTATTGAACATGAAAAATTAT